ATTCAGTTTGAAAAGAAAATGAGATTTATTTGAACATTCCTCTGTGTTTAGTGATGTTTTTAAAACTTTAAATATGTTCAGCTCATTTGATTTTTAAATACGAGACCTCCTCCACAAACACAAGGATGATGTGGAATTGGTTTCACATTGAAAAGCTTGCATCTCTGCAATGTCGGTTTTTCGATAGTAGAGAAGGCCCACAAAAAGCATTAGAGAATGGAGGTGAGAAAGTAATGCGGAAACCATGTTCTCTTTTTTTAATGTTTTTTTTAATTAATTTTTTAATATCAAATAATTATATTAATTTTTTAATATTTGATAATTATATTGAATGTTAATTAATTTAAAATTAAATCATATTAGATTTAATAAAAAAATTTTAATATTTATTTTTTTATTTATAAAATTCAAATTTAATATATTATTTAAAAAAATTAAATTCTTTATATTCAAATCAATAAATCATTAATGAAAACATGTTCCATTTTCTCTTTTCTCTTTGAGAACATAGCTGATTGTGACTGTGTCCTGCTTCAGCTTTCAGGCTGACAAGACTTTTACAGTTTTACCCATTAGTAATTGATTTTGAGAAATTTGAAAAAAATAGGAGAGTTATTTTATTGTATAATTTATTTTTGATATATTAATAAAAAAAATTGATTAAAGGTGTTTGATAAATATAAAAGGTATTTATATAAAAAATAAAATTTTCCCTTGTAAATTTAAAATTTTGTGAGGGAAAGTAAAAAATTAATTTTTAAAATAATTTTAAGTAAATTTTGAAAAAATTATATATTTAATTTTTTTAATTTAATTAAAATACTTTTAAAAATTAATTTTTAAATTTTCTTTTAACAAAATTTGTAATTTATAAAAAAATTTACTTTTTAAAACAAACGGCTTCTAAAACTCCGCCAGACACCTGAAAGAGGGGATGCAAAAGTGCTTCATTTGCTTTAATTCCTTTGTGGGATTATTCAATTTTCCTCTGTTTAGCAAAGTTAAGTGGCATGGAAGACAATCCTATCGTGGGATCCGTGGTACCTCTACTTAAATTTATCATTTTTTTTTTTTTAACAAAATGGCAAGGGTGGGATTCAAATTTCAGACCCACCAAGAGAAAGAGGATTGCATTTTCAAAGTAACCCAAAGTTAAATTTATCATTTTTTTTTAACATTTTATGAAAACTTGTATTATTTAATCCGCAATAATTTACAAAGTACACAAAAGATTACATAACATTGCAATGGATTCATAATTCAGGGACACATATCCTTGAGACACTGTTTAGCCACCCAATCAACTCCAGAGTTAAGCTTCCTACATACGTAGTTAAATTCACAAAAAGAGAGCCTTACACAACTCCCATATGGACAGCACCAGAGGTTCAATTGGCCAACCTCTTTGCCTTCTCATTCAAAAATGAATATATGAGTATTTCACAAGATTTCTTCAATTGGTAAGTTGAAACCCATGAACTTGGATGATTCTTAGTTAGGTCTCAACTTACCATTAGGCACAAAATCAACTTTTGTCACTTTTTAAAATTTAGGCACCTTTTTTTTAAGAAGTGAAATTTATGCTTCAGGCTCATTAGGCTTTAAAGAGTTGTTTACTGGTTTTAGGAGTACCATGTGGGGATGTGACGCAAGCTTAAAGAGTTGTTTACTGGTTTTAGGAGTACCATGTGGGGATGTGCAAGGATGCTTTATTCTCTTTAATTCCTTTGTAGGATTATTGGATTTTCCTGTCTGGCAAAGTTAAGTGGCATCAAAGACAATTATATTGTAAGATCTATTGTACCTCTACTTAGATTTATCATTTGTCTTCTCATTTATGAAATAAATAAATAAGTATTTCACAAATTTTATTTAATTAGCAAGTTGAAATTCATGGATTTGTATGACTCTTATCTGACTTTTAACTTATCGTTAAGTACAAAATCAACTTTTGTTACTTTCTAAATTTTATAGAGCTTTCTTTTTAAGAAATGAAATTTAAGTAAAGACTACCTAAATTAAATTCATGTTTTTGACTCAGGACCCTGCTTGATGTACAGGAAATCAGCAAATCCTTGGGTATTTTCCCTGTGTGTCTTCGAAACCTTTTATCTTCATGCTCAATAGTCTGCTTCAGGTTCATTAGGCTTTAAACCAATGTTTATTGTTTTTAACAGTACTAGATGGGGGTGTGATGCAAGAGTGCTTTATTTGCTTTCATTCCTTTTGTAGGATTATTGGATTTTCCTCAATGTAGCAAAGCCAAGTGGCATTAAAAGACAGTTATATTGTGAGATCCATTGTACCTCTACTTAGATTTATCAAATGAAATATGAGTATTTCACAAGGTTTCTTCAATTAGCATTATTTGGCCATACAAAAACCGCAAGTCAAAATGTTAATTTCAAATCGTAATACATGAATGAAGGAAAAATGGCTGGACTGAAGCTACATCCACTTTCTGTTAGTGGTGTGACTTCTGTGTGAGGGGTTTGCGTGTGGAATGTATCGAGGTTGGGGTGGGGCCTCAGGAGCCCAAAGGGGAGGACACAAGTGAGTAATTATCGAGTTCGAGTATTGTGAATGGAGAAACAAGTGTTGAGAAAGCTTTTTTTTATTTTAATGGGATTTGACTTTACTCGATTTTGAATTAATCAAAATTTAAAATAGTTATCGAATACCAAAAAATTAGTAAAGAAAAAAATTACTAATTAGATACTGAATCTTAGTACAAGTAGATAGAGATCTAGGGGATGTGTTTCGGCTACACTAGGTAATTCTTATTTCAAAATAATTATTAATTTTAAAAATTTTTATAGGTTAAAAATTTTAATATAATTTATAAATTTACTTACATTATTTTTAACAAAAAAACAAAGGTAAAAGAGAACATTTTGATAATAAAATTGATAATTAAAGTTAAGAATAATGATAAAAGAGATAAATTTTATGGAACTAATTTTTTTATTTTATTAAAATTTATAATATTATATATATCAATTCATTTAATAACATAACTTATACCATATCGTTAGTTCTAAATTTTCATCTACTATATCACTATCCTAAAGTTAACGAAGAACCATGAAGTTAAAATATGAAAAAAAATATTAACCTCTCTTAAAAATTTAAAATTTTACAATTAATTTAGAATAAATTTTGAGTAAAAAATACAATCATTTAGGAAATACAAGTACGTTTTTGTAGAAGTTGCTTTCATGAGGAAGGATTAACACCAAGAATAAATTATAGTAAAACAAATTGCACATGTAGATATTACATATATTATATGCGGTTGATTTCTAAATATAACAGTATCTCAAAGTCAAAATATTGATCAAATATTAATGGAAAATTATTTAGAAATAATTTTTATATTATTTTGTTGTATAATTTTATGTACTATTTGAATGGATTTTTTTATTCTATTAAATGTATTTAGTTATTTAATGATATTTAAAAATTATATAAAAATATTATATAAAAATATTACCTCTATAAGTCTATATCACTACCCAATATTACTAGAAGACTCTTTTTTTTGAATAAACAATATTAATAGAAGACTTACACGCAAAGGACTCCTAAAAGATAATTATTTTTTTGAAATCTCCCTTAAGAACTCTACTTATGTTATGCTTGTCAATGTCATAGCGCATGAACTCTCCCTGACCCAGAAAATGGGGTAATTTAGACAAGGATTTTGAAATCCTTCCCCACACCCATACAGTACCACTTAAGAATTCTACATTCAAACTGAACCTATCCTGCTTTACATAGTTGAGTTGTTGCACTGAAGCAGTATCCTGCTTTATTATCCATAATAATGTCACTGAATTAACCCCCAAGCATTAGATTTATTAGTAAACAAGTATTCTATTGTAAATTAGGTCAATAGTTTAAATTTTAAGGTTAACACCTAAAAAAAAATTAATTTTTCTGAATATACCAAACTAATATAGAGATTTGTTAGTGTGCACTTAAAATGGCACGAGAAAGAATTAGTCTCAAAACACTTAAAAACTAACGTGAGAACACCCTAACCGTAAATATAAAATAATAAAAAAAAAGGACAGTGAATTGTAAAAACAGGAAGGCTAATGCGTATGCAATGGACGATTGAGTTGTGTGTGTACATGTAACGACAATCAAATGTTTAACAACCCTCAGCAGGGGTTGAAAGATTAGTGTAATTTTTTATGTGAAGAACATTGACTTGTAGCTTAGATGACATTTCTTGTCTAGTTTTGTCTTTAAAACAGCAATTACCAGATAACTAAAATTCACTGCATTACAACCACAGACTTCTCACTACATATTTCCTGTAAGAGTACCTGCACAGGATTAGTAATTCTGTTTCCAGTTCTCCAAGGTTTCTAGACACATGTTTCATGTTTTGTCATATACAGAGATCCACCTTGAACTCTTCTCCGCACGCACATTTGATCACGTGAGAAATTCCCTACAAAAAGCAGTGAAGCATTATTGGTTAGGAATAATGTTGCTAACAGTTTTTTAGATGACTTTTAGTAAACTCAAACTTTGCATTGGAGTTCTCTGCATGATCTTCTAGTTACAGGCACAGTAATTCATTACTCCACTGACTTTTTTGGTATTTTTGAGAGATACATTTTTATTGGATCCACAAAACATTACATGGTATGCAAATCTTTGATATTTTGAATTTTTTATGGAATGACAGTGTTAACAAACATTCCAAGTCTCTTTCCTGATTAAAAACATATTGCAAACAATTGTGATGGACAAAATGAGGTCTTGAAGGAAAAAGCTTAGGAGGAAGAAACAATCATCTTCATAATTAAAAGTGTTTAGGATGGAGGAAAATTATGCTATTTTATTTTATTTGACTTATTTATCACTTTTAATAATAATTTCCTATCTGAATTTGGGTTATGGTGTGTTTTCATATACTAGAGATTATAGTTTTGACATTATATACGCTTTATGTTTATACCATTTGATATATGTTAGGACTTATGATATGGTTAGAAGAATGCAAGTGTATAAAATTTTCATATCCCAAAAGTTTATCCTCTGAGTTGCACAATCATGCCCAGCATCTGCTGTTCTCTAATTTTCAACTCTTATCATAAATTTCCATTATCTTCTGAAACAAAAAAGAAGGCTTTTTTATCCATCAATATATCTCTCCATACATTTGTATTTTAAGAACTCTGATTAAATGTTCATACACATTGGACAGTTCGACTCTTATGAAACATTCCTTCATGTTCTCAAATCAGGAAAATAATCTCTCCATTAATATATCTCTTGATGCTCCTAACTTTAAGAAATTTGATAATATATCCTTAAGCTATTGAAAATCTTGGTTTTCAGTGCTAAGGTAACAATGTGAATAGATTTACCTCAACTTGTTTGATTTGATCCTGCAGTGAGTGTAGAAACTCAGCTTCCCCACTTTTATCTGATAACAGGGCCTTTTGTTCTTCTTCTAGGGTCGAAATATCCATTGCTAGTAGCTCTGGCTGTAGTTATAGATGAATTGAGAAAACCATAAAAGAAATCACATTATATATGAATGATTGAATGCTATAACAAATTATGGGCCTACAAATATTACAATTTTGATCCATTAAAAGTATTTAGAAGCTCAGTTGTTACGTAATTAAAATAGGTTTAAAAAGAAAGAACAAGGTATTGAATGGACTAATGGCGCCAATTGGAACAGTTCACGTTGACTCATCGATTTAATTCCAAAAGCAACCTATAATTTATGAATGACAAACTCATGTCACCTTAAAAACATTTGCCCTGCAGTTCACTTCCTTAAGAGACCGCTGCACCTGAATACCAGGAAAAAAAAAAAAAAGCCTATAGCTCAATAATTAAATTCAAGATATAAAAATAATACAAAAAATTATAAATCACAGATTCTAAATTATCTTTCTGAGATTTTCATCCTATTATCTCGAACCCTTCTTCTTTGCCCTGTTTTATCCTTTGGGTCGGAGATGGTTGGTAGAGTATCAAAAATTTCAGCTTAAGCAGAAAATTCAATTTCTTGATAACCATTAATTAAACACTTCTTCCCATCATTAAAAGAAGAAAACATCTAACCTTTCCACACATCTTTTGAAAAGTAAATAATCAGAAACTATATAGGAATGCAGAAACAGTTTTAACATTTGACTTGTAAAGAAGCACTATCATCTAAACTTTGCCAAATGGGAAGCCATATACAAACTTACAACATATCTCAAGAAATGCTTTCAATTAAGTATGTCAGTTAAGCATTAATTCCACACCTTATTCATGGGAAAAACTAAGTAGAAAAATGGTAACTTAAAATTATTTTATCAGTAAATGAAATAATTTGCTGATAGGAAAGGTGCAGCAATAAATTGGAAATGCCTTTTTTTTCTTCACTTTTAGCGGATAAAAAAACCAAGAAACTACAAGCTTATGGAATATAAATTTCAAAACTGACAATGACAACTTGAATTACTCACCTTGAAATTCTCTGAAACCAGTTGGGCTTTCATTTGTGCAATCTGATCAAGCTTGGCTTTAGCAGAGTCCAATTTAGCCATCAGGTCCTTCTGCACTTCATTCTTCTGGTATTCCATGAAGTAAATAGAACATAGAAACTCCATTTCTGATGAATGAAGATATCAACTCCTTAAAACTCAATGATTGACGGAAGTAATTCTTACTGTATTACCCATGGTGAGATGGCTATGAATGCCAGGTATCCCTTTAAGAGACTCTAAAATGAGATGAAGCAGAAGGTAGTCATTAGGGAACACTTTCACAAATAAACAAAGGGGATTTTTGAAAAACTCTTAATATATTTTGCAGTTCCAATAAAAAAATTCTTGAATTTTCAGAACAGAATGTTTCATGAAATTCACATACTCCTCTTAGTTTTCTTTCTCTCTTTAACTATTTATTTATTTCATTTACAGACTCTTCACTCAGAAAAATTCCTTACATTACATCTCATGACCTGTTAAGCAAGCAAGAATGTCTTGGCCCTGAACCATATTGCATTTCAGGTAAATGCATCACATCTGGTTCTGGAGAAAACTTAAAATACTAAAGATTGTTAGGTTTTGAGTTACAAGTTTGTTTCACTGAAAAATTTTATGGGATATATTAGGTATCTTGTATAAAACGGAAAATGTTAAGTTGATACAAGAGTTACAATTAGAAACGGTTATGAAACCACCAGGCTTCAACTTAAGGCTTAAGCATTCCAAATTCTAGAATGCATTTATGTATATATAAACAGGAAGTTTCACGGAGATCAATAGCTGCTATATGATTTGAAGCATAGCATACATATTATTCATCAGCTAACACATTCAAAATGGAGGTCATTCCATAGAATAAACAAGAAGTCATCGACACTATTAGGCATAGGGAGAAGAAGGCATAATGATAAAACATGAATAAATATTGAAAAGTCAATTAATTTCAGTCTAAGAATTTGTTAGAGGAAAGTCTTGAAGCCATGCCTTTAGCTCCTGTCATTTTCCCATCATGTTTATTATTGACCTGTAAAATCTCTAACTATTAGAAACACTCAGAAAATAATTTGCAAAAGTTAGAAACTCTTAGTATACTTATTTAAGCAATAGATGACTGGAGAAGTGCTACTAGACCATTGTAACTTGTCAAGAATAGATCTTAACATACTTATTTAAGCAGTGGGTGACCATAGAGCTAGTTAAACAATAGAAATTTGTCAATAATAGATCTTTAAAGAGGCCCTTCTGAAAGAAACTGAGTTCCAATTACACAATTTGGGGTGTTATCACTTACGTCAAAATTACATTTCCATTACAATAAAATGCGGGCAATTGGAGGGAGTCAAAGAACTAAATGACTTCAGATTACTAATGTCTATATTCCAGGAGAAGTGTGGACAAGGGGAGTCATGGAGTAGAAGTATCTCAAATAGACAGCATTTTCCAAGCCCTCATATCAACCTTCCAGCATACATCAAAAAAAAAAAATTTAAGGCACTTTGGGAAAATCTTAACATATAACTTACCATTTTCCTAAAAGATATTTTAACACATAAATATATTAAAGCCGGTATGTAAATTAAATATTGATGCCTACCACTTAAAGATTTCAGTTATAGTTGTTTCAGGTATGCAAAATTAATTCTTTAGCCTATACATCCAAGCTTGTCCAAAATCAGAAGTCATTTGCATGGAACCCAAGTTACACAACAAAAGCAATTAAAAAAATTAAAATCCAGCTCATCTTCCTGTCTTAAGCTGGTTAAAGGACTCCAGTTCATCTCATAAAGATCAGGCCAAAGGTTTTTTCACATTTGTGATGAAATCGCTAAAAGAAAGGGCTGACAGATTTTCTTTAAGAACTCATACACATTTCATGTACCTGGTTGTTTATCTGTTTTGTTTTACTTTCATAAATTATTATTTTTAATCAAGGAAAAGAAAATACAATAAAATATATATTGGGAACATACGAATCCATGCTCTCCCATGTTTCTGCTGACTTTGATGGAATTGACCCAGTCCTTTACAGAGGAAAAAAAACAATTGCTTGCTCATTGCTTAAGAGAATTAATGTGAAACTGAGAAAATTTTGCATGAGTACTTTTGAAGCCAAACCTGTTGTTCTTGCAATTTGTGGCTAATATCCTCAGCAACCTTGCTGTAGTAAGCCCTGTTACGAAATAAAACCAGAACAAAATAGGTTATCATTCGAAAGTCTTAGAACTTTTTGCCATTTCACTGTGAATTACCTCTTATCTTTAAGTTTGGCAGATAAGCTGACTCGTTCCTGTTGAATAAGCTCTAGGGTCTGTGTGTATTAAAAGTTATAAGAAATTACCAAAAGGGAAAGGCCAGAAATTAAAAAACTGTCTGTGATTTTGAACCACTCAAGCAGGTAGCTATGGACAAAATAAATCTGAAAATGTTTCCCACTCACACTGATCTGGTAATTTTATATTTATTGAAACTGCAAACGAGATCAATCTGTTCTGTTCCAGATAAAGTCTGATCCTGAGAACAATTATAAGTGCTGCCTCAACAAAAGAGCATCTTATAACATGGCTGCAATCAATTTAGGAGCATAAAGTTTCTTTTTGATGCTCAGAAGATCGACAGAAACTATCACTAAGACTGTAAATACCCTCAATTGGCAGCACTTATTAGAGGACTGGTTAAAATTTTGAATGACATTGTTAAATTTCTAGATTTTAGACATCTTCAGTTCATTTACCTCTTACTTAACAAATCTAGTGCAGATAAGCCAACAGCCATATTACCTATAATTTGGTTCCTTATCCAAAATTTGCAATGTAAATTCACCTAAAAGCAGAGAACTGTCCCCAGAGAAAACAGGATAAAATTCAAGCAGCTCAATCATAGTCATAGCTCCTGATTTCAGTTTTATTATTTTCTGCTCTTTTTATTTCCTTTACATAAGGAAAATGAAGATGTGTGATATAGAAAAAGAAAAAAACACATAAACCCGGAAGCATTCAAAAAGAAGATAAGTCATTCCCTTTATATCCTAGTAGTTCTACTGTGTAACTCCGCATCTTCAGTCACTCCTTTGGACTGAAAGAAGGTAGAAAAACCAGCCAGGCCCTAACTCAATATCACTTATCATGAGTTTTTAGTTTCTCTAAATGTACTTCAACTTTTTATTTATTTTATTTATTTATTTTTTCCTTTCTACAGAGTGTCCAAGCGCTTCCGTAGAAATTCTTCTAAGTAACTCTAGTAGTTAAGAATCATGCCAATCTCTTCAAATGTATAGTTAGCTTTATTGTTCCTGGCAAATTTTCACAAAAAATAATTTCAACATGCAAGCTAATGTGCAGAAATACAGAAAAGATGGACAGGAAGTGCCTGAGTCAGTGTGGATGAATCAGACTCCGTGGATGCTATTTTTTTTCTGTTTCTCCAGTATCTTTGAGCATATTTGACCCTTACTCACCATCATCTGCTCAGCATCATCTTTAAGTTGCTTCGTTTCAGATTTTGCTGCAAAATAAGTGTATAGCACTTCAAAAAAATACTAATAAATTGAGATTTTTAGTAAACAATATATATTGATAAAAGAATAACTAGTTCTCGTTTTCTACCTTTGAAAGATAAAAATCTAATCAAATTCCAATAATTTAGAAATGAATAAACCTTCCGAACATCTTAAGAAACAGATTCACGGAGTTAAATTAATCGTGAAGCAACAAAGCACATTACAGAAGCTGCATTTTCCTCACCTAAATTTTGCTGTCTACACTACCAAACAAGGTAAGAAATTAACCGAAATAAGATAAAATCAACCAAAACCATATGAACATCTAGAGATCTGCAAATTAGAGGGAAAAAGAAAGAAAATCGGAAACAATTCAACAAAATACCAGAATTGAGATCATTTTCCATGGTTTGAATGGTAACGATGTGCATCTGCTCTTCTACGGAAATCTTGGCAGCCTGATCCTCCACATCTGCATCAATTTCAATTCAATTAATTTGAATCGTAGCAGAAATTTCAAGTTCGATTATGGAGAAAGAAATCGGTACCGCTCATCTGAGAGCGCAATGTCTTCATGTAATTCAGGTACTCCTCCATTTTCGATTTCCTTACTCCTCGACTTCTCTTGAACGATTGTTGATTCTGCAGTCTGTACAGATGGAGAAAGGTTTTTGAAGATTCTGGAGATGACGACGCAAAATGGAGGGAAAAACCGAAAGGACGATATGTCTGGTGCTATATAATCGGTCCACTTTGTCGGTCCAAATGACTAGAACCTAGTGAGCAAAGTGAGCAAAGTGAGCAAAGATCATAAGAGGATATGAACTCAGCCACATACAGAGGGAAAATAAGATGGTTATTCTTCATTAACCAAAACCCTGTCCAATTTCCAATATTGCCTTGCATCTCAAGTTGTTGGTTACACCATGTCAAGAGAATAAAAGCACTCCACTAAACTTCAAATCAAATAGGTTGTTTGGATGAGTTTTTTTTGAAACAGCTGGTAATTGATAATTAATATCTAAAATCTGATAATAATTTATATTTATAATTTAAAATATTTAACCTATTTAATTAAAACTAATTATTTTTAAAAACTTTAAACAAATGTGCCTAAGAACTTGTTTAGATGCTTTTCAACTAAAAGATTTTAGACAAATACCATAAAAAAAATTTAGATTAAATAACAGTTGATATGGTGCATGACCATTCATATATATATATATATATATTTGGTAAGAAACAGTGATTCATAGATTATTAAACAACATTAGTTATGGGATACGTAGTCCCAGTGGCATCAAAATACAATAGAGGAATGTATCAAAAAAAAAAAAATACAATAGAGGACTAAGTTTCAAAGGATCTGACCATTCATGTTAACTAGTTGAGAGATGCATTTTTTCACATTCTCAACCATAAGCTGAGTTTGAAATCCCCATTCCAAGTTTTTAATTGTTCAAAAGAGTATTGACATGATATCTTATTAGCTCTTGAACAAAATAATAGTTAGCATTAGATCACTTCTGGTAAATAATAGTTGATCCTATAATTTTGACATTAGATTGATACCAGTCGGTATCTCAAGAGAACCATGATTGTGCTCTGGTTCGTAACAGTATGGTCTTTGTGGCTATGGCGTAATTAAAAAGTGTTTGGCGAGGAAAGGGTCTCACAAAACAAGCTACTAAATTTAATAAAGTTTCGAGCCTTCTATTGGATTAGAACAAATTTGAAGCCAATTAAATTTAAAGCATGAGTTCTAGATTAAGGGTGTGTTTAGAATGACTGTAGTTGTGACTATGACTGTTACTGTACTGTAATATAATTATAGTGAAAAGTTATTTTGATATTTGATTATTTATTTTTTTAAATATTATAGATGAAATGCGATAAATTTTATTAATTATTAATTAAAATTTTAAAAATATTGTAAAATATGTAATTATTAAAATAGATCATATTTATTATTTTTTAAATAATTTAGCTTTTTTAAATTTCTTATTATTATTACAATATTATAAATTATTATGTAATTAAATTATATAAAATTAGATTTTAATAGATAATTTTATAATTATATTAAATATTAGATGCTTTCCATAAAAATTATAGTTAAAAAACTTCAAAATGAGGCTTTTAGTTTTGTATATAAAATTACTGTAAATTTACTATAATTTTCTGTAACTTAAAAAAAAATCTAAAAAAATATTATCAAATACATATATATTTAAAATATTATACAATTGCATGAAAAAACATTCACCCGTAATTCTAAACGCACCTTAAGTCCCTCAACCGACCAACCTGTAAGAATAATATGATGTCTTTATAGGTTCTCAATTTCACATTGCATACTTCAAGAAGAAGTACAGCAGGTGGCAAAGTCGGGTTTAAGGTTCTAGGTTCAAACCTCAACCCGGCCTTATTCATCATTGCTCACAAAAAAAACAAAAAAAAACCTTTTCATTGTATATATTTCTTTCTCTGAAAAGAGGTTTTCTTTTTAGATGGAACGGATTACCTACTCAAAGAATTATTAATTTTTTAGGTGGTACTGATTCCTTACACAGGCAATATTAATGACAACTCTTTGCTATGGACTGAGTGGAACGTGAGTGATGGAGATTGTTACAAATCTATAAGAAAGGTTAATGACGCTAACCTGTGTTGGGATATTAATGGTGGCAATGTAAAGGATGGTGAGCCTATTGGAGTCGATTATTGGTGTCGATTATTGGTTTGGAAAAAGTATCGAACGTTGGATCATTGCCCCAATTGGTGAGTTTACGTTTCTCGCATTTTTTTTTTCAAAATTTAACATTAGCACTCCTAACTTTTAACAACAATTGCATTGTTGATTGTTACTATTATTTTGTTTGTCAATTTGCAGCATGCGGATGCGCATGACGACTTTGTGTGTAACATCTGCTCCACCTACGGGTGACCAATAAAAAGGACTGTGCGTCACAAGTATGTGTTACCATTTGGGTTTGGTCTTGTGTCTACTCCACCTACTGGTGACTAATAAAGTACCGTGTGTGACAAGTATGCTGCCATATGGTTGGCTGGCATCAAATAATGTTTTCTATATGCCTCTTTTTTTTTTTGAACACTTTCTATATGCCTCTTTTTTTTTTTGAACACTTTCTGTATGCCTCTTTTTTTTTTTGAACACTTTCTATATGCCTCTTTAAATGGCATTCTTATGCATGTCTATTATAGTTTCTCGTGGAATAAGATCGTTGTTCTTGTCACGAATATACACTAATAGTGCATATTGAACCAGTCCAATGGTAAAATAGTTCACCATCAAGTTTAAGAATTTGGATTCAAGTAGTTAGGAGTTTTATCCCTAATTATTTGTAAATTTAATCTCTTTCTCCTAAATTCTGCTTTTTTTTTTTTAAATGATAGTGCCTATTAATCCTAGCTTTCAAAAAATTGAAGTTTTAATTTCAAAAATATTATTTTTCAATAATTGTTCTGAAAACTAACTATTAAATTTAATATTATATATATATTAGTATTAATATTCAGCTTTTCTCCCGTGCTCTAAACTCCTCCGGCTAGGGTTTGGAGTCGGCGGGCCTCTTCCTTCGGGAGCCCTCTCCGACAGCGGAGCCCCTCTACTTTCTCTTCCGTCTCTGCGTCGAGCCTTTGATTTGTGGTCTTTGGCCATTTCTAATTGGGGCGTCATAAATCTGGTGCCTCTCCTCAACTTTTGTTTTCGCAAATCGCGGGGGGCGTTTCCAGATCTTTGCAATTTTGCTCTGTTTCGCAACTTGGGCGGAGCGTGCTAGATCTCTGCAAAACTGCTCTGTTTCGTCACTGAACCTCCATCTCGATCATGGCAGCAGATGAATTGGGTTCTATGCTCAATCGGATTCGGATTGCAGAGAACGAAGATGGAATTCTCCCACTGCATATGGTTTGGAAACAGGAAGATGCTTGGAATTTCAGTATTGCCATGCCTCTGTTTTGCTTAGATCTAGGGTATCCGAGTGGTAGTCATTGGAGGCTGATTGGTTTTTTCGGTCGTAAGCCAAAGGAAAAGGATGAGGTTGGTGAAGTCGCTATGGGGGAGAATGCCACTTCAGTCTCAAAAGGGGCTCTAGTTCCCTTATTGAAATTTGGCAACAAGGGCTTGCAAAGGATTGGAATAGTTAGGGCATGGTTAGAAGCCCATGGCGACAAGGGAGGTGCCTGGGTTTGTATGGAGGAGCATGGCCCTCCTATTGACTGAAACTGTTTTAGGGACGACATATAGTGGGTTGGGGACTGCTGATGTCGAATTTTCCCTGCTCTCCCCGTGAAGCTGGCTAAATAGGTGAAGCCGTCCAGTAGTTTCAGACACTCATAGCAACCTCTTTTTCTACTTTTGTAACCCTATTTTTGCCCTTACAGCGATTGTAGCTACAATCTTTAATCATAGATGGCCTTCTTCGCTTAATTGTCCATATATGTCATGGGCACAATTTAAATCTGTTATTAATGCTGTAGGTTACGCTTTTGTCCTTAATTTGGCTATAATGCCCTGCTTGAGATTCATCTGTAATATCTTTATATTTAATATAATTCTCTATTTCCTATCAAAAAAAATATTATATATATTAATTTTTAAGTTGATCTAATATTTAAAATCATTTGATTAAAAAACATATATTTTCTAATGTATAATTAATGGTTTTAAATTTGTATAATCAATTAACTAATTATATATATTTAATTAATTTAAAAATTAATATGTATGATCTACAAAAATAAAATTATAAAATACTAAATCAAATGGTTGGTTTTTGGAATTGTTCTTTGGTTGTTGTTCTTTTTTTTTTTTTTAATTAGAATTTTAATTTTTTGTAGAGTTAGAATTGATACGTACTTTTCTAATTATATTAAATTTGATTAATTTTTGTTAAAAAGACATCTATCATTAATCTAATAACATTTTGGACTAAGTTTAAATGAACCTTTAAAAACTAAGTTTAAGTTTTTAGTAGTGATTAATATCCTTATATATTTATCAAAATAATAATCTTCTTCTAATATGCGATTGACTTATTGTAAGATGATTTAAACTAAAACTTACTACTAACCTAATAACTCCCCGAGTCAACCTTCACGCCCCATTAAAAGTTCAACTGAGAGCTGGTGGCATGCTCCTAGTCTTCTTGCACTGCTCACCATGAACTTTTCACCATCAAAAAAGAAATTGACTCTAGAACATTTTAGGGATCAAATTAAAATCAATAAAAATTGAGGATTAAAAGATTTAGGATGCCAATGAAGATCAATTAAAATGTAAAGGACAAAAGTAAACGCTAGTTTCATTTTTTATTTTTTTTTATTTTGGCTTCATTGCATAGTATCGAAGCCATTACAGTAACTCGAAAGAAAGTTCAAAACATGAAATTAAAACGCTTGTTAGTAATGGTTCTTCTTCAGTTTAACAGGGTAAGAACTAACTAAATCAATTGTATTTATATTATATTTTAATAATTGAACTAAACAGTATTAAAAAATGTGTCAAACTAAAGAGTGTATTTTATACCTAATTAATGTGGATGATTAGGAAATTGAGATGTGTTCTTTTAAGTATGAGGTAAATATTAATTGGGGTAAAAATGAAAAAAAAGACTTTAATATTATGTTAAAAATTTAAAATTGACGAATAAATTAGACCATCTCTTTTTATAAAAAGTGACAAATAAAATGAACCAAATGTAATAATATGAAAGTTTTTATTAGGAAAGCTGGAAAAGTATTAGATTGAAAGTTGAAATTACAGTACAAAAAATTAATAAGTTTTGCAATAAAATTTTACTAAAATTTTTTGGGGTCATTAGCTTTTTCATGTTTGGTGAGAAGTAGATATTAGAAAAATTAAGTGAAAGTAATTAGATTCGGCATGGGAAAAGTTGAGGGAAAAGTTTTTCCCTCCAAAAAAATGTATAAGGAAAAATAGAAGTTACCCTTTATTTATAATAGTATTAAAGTATAAAATTATTAAAATGTCCTTAAACTCTCCTCAATAAATGACGGAAAAACTTTCTCCAACCAAGTACACCCTTAGTGTTGTCTTGGTAAAGGTTTGAGGGTTTAATTTTGGGGTCAATATATATTTGAGGAAATTATTTTTTGGAAAATGTTTGATACACCTTTCGATTTAATATTTGGTTCAACACTCAGTTCAATACTTCATGGTTTAATCATTAAAAATATAATATAAATACAATCAATTCAGTCGATTCTTATATCTTGTGTGTATGATTGTATTATTATATTTGTTTATTTTTAATTTCAGATTAAACAATAATAATTTTTTAATAACTAAACCAAAAAGTGTTGAACTGGGTATTGAAATATAAGGTGTACCAATCACTATCCTTATTTTTTTTATTAAACGCACCATTTGATGTAAGGGGTGCATTTTTAAAATATCTCAAGAATGAATTAGTCCAATTGGGCTTATTTGGTTACTTGTAGTGGTTATTCCTTAATAAAATTATAAAAATAAACTAAAATTAACCAATTTTCACAAAAAGCTCAAAATAGCTGTGCCTTATTGTTTACTTTTTTTAATGTTAGTCTAGAATTAAGAAATACTTATTTTCTAAAATAGAAAGGAATAAATATTTTTCATTTATTTCTTAGTTTAGAAAAAAAATATTAATATTAAAATTTAGTTATTCTTCGCATCTCAAAAAAATTTCTTAAATTTATTTTATTTTTATAATTTGACTAAATAATAACTATTACTACCAATTAAACAAGAGCAACGGGGAGTGAAAGTTTATTCGAGATACCCTAAATATTCAAAAAATAATATATGGCTTTTTCAATTTGTTTACTTTCTTTGTTAAGTAAGAGTGAAAAAAATAATCTTGAAAAATACTCAGACTTTGGACTTTTTCCGAGTGGTGTGCAAGACATGCATGCAGCAGCAAGTCTGATTATTTCACTGCCCAATTGAATAATAAGTAACAATTACGCAGATAAAAAATCAATAATCTGAGTTGACTGTAAATTAATTAACCAATTATTTACCATCAAAGAAAAATTGTAGTAATAGAAAACAAGTGGATGCACCCATAATGCATCATCATTCATCATCAACTAGTCAGAGTCAAGGGTAATTATATTATACACAACTTATATAACACTTCTGAAAATGATATAATTACTTTTAGTAGTATCACTACACGTACAACACAGGGACACTCACATCAGTAGACAAAATAAACATATATATATAGTAGTTAGAATCATGTCCTTTATAATTACTCAAATCACTTCAAATTTTAGAAAATATATAGTTGTAATATCTAAGGTCACCAATTTTATTAATTAAA